TACGAGAAAACCGTTAATTATCATCGTATTGTTATTTATCATTCATCGTTCGAATTTAAAATCGATTTTCTTTTTTAAAATAAAAACCTTATTAATTAATTTATTTAAACAATTTCATTTGTTTAAACAAATAAAATAACGTTCGAATTTACTCGATTTAATAATAATAATAATAATTTAAAAGCGATCGATAGAATTCAAACGAACGCAATTCATCGTCTCTTATAAATTATTTCGTCAAATTTATTTTCAACCCGAAATATTATCATTATTATCATTATCATTATTATTTTAATTAATTATTAATTAATACTTATTAATAAAATAAAAAAATGTTTCATCGTTGAAAGAAAGAAACAAATAAAACGAAAAAAAAAAAAAAATTTTGAGTTTCTCACGTTTTGTGGTATTACCTACGTTAGTATCGAGTCGTGCGTGACGTCAGAGAGCAAAAAAATCATAGAGTATATAGATCACGTGATGTCACATCGATCGACAGGAAATGAATTAAAAAAGATTTAATGAAAATAAGTAAAATAAAAACTTACAGGAAATTCTTCGTGTACGACATCGTGACGAGTTTCTCTCAATGATCTTAAATTAATTGAAGAAGCAGACGATTCTAGAGTGTCGTTATTATCATTATCATTATCATTATCATCATTTCCATCGTCGGTTGATTTTTCAACATCTTCTTTCCTCTCTGTGAAACCTCTAAAAGAATAATCGTTCGTATCGTTATTATTATTATTATTATTATTTAAATAAGGGAAAAAATTTTTTTTTTGATATTTTTCTTCTTCTCCTCCTTCGTCCTCTCCTCCGCCACCATTTTCTTCTCTTTTTTCTTTTCTACTTCCGCCGCCATATTTTTTATTTATATCATCTTCGTAATCGTATTCCTCGTAAAACACCAATTCATCACTTTTTTTTCCCCCTTTCGTCGATACGTCATCAACATTATCATTATTATTATTAAATTTATTATCACTTTTAAATTTAATTAAATTTTCGTCACTTTTTTCTATTGTTTTATTATTATTATTATTTGACAACGATTCGATCAAATAAAAATTTATTAACATTAACAAACAAATACGTAACAAATACATTATTATTATTATTATTATTTACGTTAACGACAAACAAACGAACGAAATTTCGATTTAAATTATTATTATTATTATTATTATTATTATTATTATTATTATTATTATTATTATTATTATTATTATTTTTCGTTAAAAATTAAATAAAATAAAAAAAAATCATCGCCGACACTTTTTTTTTATTATAATCCGATAAGTTCGAATGATTAATTTCAAATGAATGATGACCGTTTGGTTATTTTTAATAATAATAATAATAATGATAATGATAATAATATGTGCTCTACTTGCAACGTATTGGATGCCGAGGCACCCCATCAAAATTTTTTTTTTATTTAAAAAATGGTGGGAGAGATGGTGTTACCGGTACTCTCAATGCCAGTGCCAATGCCACTCTCTCTCTCTCTCTCTCTTTCTCTTTCTCTCTCTCGTGCAATCCACTCTCATACCGGTTTTCCCCCCCCTCCCCGTTTGCATAACAGCCTAAAATAAATCAAAAGTTGTAGAAGAAGAAGAAGGAGGAGGAGGAGGAACAAGTGGTAGTGGTGGTAGTGGTAGATTTTTAATTTTCACTACAAGAAAAATTTTTACCACCTGAGTAATCAACCAACCAACCAATCAACCACCCGAACCTGAAAATTTCACGGTAGGAACCTTTTACATTATTATTATTATCGAAAGAAATGATGACGAAAATCAATTAATTGCAATTAATAAACAAGTTACCGGATGTGGATAATCGCATTGTTGAAAATCGGAAAAACGAGGCGGGGGAAATGGGGAGGTGGGAAACTTATTCTTATGGAAAATTCTAGAAAGTTAACAATAATAATAATAATAATAATAATACGATGAAGATCCGTTTGTCGTATATCCATGACGACTTTTTTTTATATTCGTGAGAGTAAAATTTAAAATCATGATGACGTACGTCGTTCGAAAAAAAAAAAAATTATTCAGCACGATTATTGTTCGTTTCATTAATAAAATAATAATAATAATAATAATAATGATGATGATGATGATGATAATAATAATAATAATAATAATTTAACGTTTCATTATTTTAAAAAATTTGAAATTTTCTACACGGATTTTAATAATAATAATAAAATTATTTAATTACTTTTTAATAATTTATAAAATCTGTAATAAATAAAAAAAAAATTTTTTTTTCGTCAGTGTTGCCAACAACAACAACAACAAAAAAAGTGACGACAACTTATGAATTTTTTTAAATAAAAAAAAAAAAAAAACGTCTCAATATATATTAGAGTAAGTAAGTTTTTTTTTTTTAATAACGGAAATCCGGTTTTTTATTTATTAATTTATTTGTAAATTATTAATATTTATTAAAAAACGAGGTGATACGAATAAATTAAACTTTAATAAATTAAAAAAAAACTTAACGCGTTAAATAATTATTTATTAATAATAATAATAATAAAAATTTAATAATCAAAAAAAAAAAAAAAAAAATTTTATTTCCGGTTAAGTTTACTATTTTTTAAAGTTCCCCCCCCCCCCAGGGCTTCGTACCAAAAAAAAAGTGACGTCATTAGTAAATTTAGAAAATTATCATCATTATTATTATTGTTTATTGATTTTAATTAAATATTAATAAAAGTAAAAGTTTTAAGAAAATTTCTCGTTTTTCCTATAAAATCCATTTGATTAAATTTAACAACGAGTTATTGTGTTTCGATGATGAGTAGTAGTACCAACACCCACGATTGTGTATGAATGAGGTCAAATTTTTACCTTTGACCCTTAACCTTTTTTTTTTTATAAAAAATACGATGAGTAATATAATCATTCGGGTTATTATTAAACACGGATCAATAATATAAAAATTAATTAATTAATTTTTTTTTTTTAATTAAACCATTTCATTAAAACAACAGCTCGTTTGATTCTCGTAGTAAAAAAAAATACGTTTTTCACTGCCATCTGTGAGAGTAAAATTAAACTAAGTGCGTATCATTTACAAAACTGTTTTATCATCGTATTATGTGAAGAATTTGTCGATTTGTTTAAACGCTTCGTAATGGCATTAAATTACCCGTTGTGACGTTTTAAATAAATTCTTATCAACGAAATAATAATAATAATAAAATTTTTAAAAAAAGGTGTGTAAAAACACGCAACAACAACAACAACAACAACAACAATTTTTACGAAATTATTAATTGTCAGTAATTGTTATTGAGGTTGATTTAAATATTTCAATATTTAATAAAAATAAAATAAAATTTTTAATGAGAAAGTTACTGACATGTTTACGACACCGTATCCGTGGTACGCCAACGAGAAAATTATTTAATGGTGTTGTGATAAGGTTAATTGACCGAAAACAATTTGAGATAACGGATAAATATTTTTAAAATTAATTAATTAATTAATCAATTACAAAAAGTCTTTTTCTTTCGTTATCGACGTGTATGCTACTACTACTACTACTACTCCTCCACAATATTTCACGTTTTGGGTAATCTGTATAAACCACCGCTAAATAATAATTTATGTTCTCTTACTTTTCTATCTAAAAACACTCCCAATTCTTTTTGAGAGCAGTCGACGGCGGATGTTCCTTGCGACGCAAACATTTTCAACATTTGATGTATTCTTTCCAAAGGCATGGATTCCAAATTCGTGAGCATTCCAACAATGTACGACCAAAAAACTTGAAGTTCTTCTTCTCTTTGATCCTGAGCGGATGCCATGACGCTTTCGACTTCATCTTCGTCGCAACCAATGTCGCTTTGATTGACATTTTTAGATTTTTCCGTCGTTTCTTCGATCAATAAATATCGATCCGTCGATATTTCCTTTAGTATCCCTTGCAATTTCCAAAATGCTATTTCTCTTCTTAATTTCGTCGGTGGAACTTGTATGAGAGCGCTCAATTCTTCCACCGTCCATTCATCTGAAAAAAAAAAAAAAAAATTTTTAATAACAATAATATTAATGAAATAGCGGTTATTATTAAATTTCTTATTCATTAGAGCACAACAATCGATTTCACCACCACCATCACCACCACCACCACCATCACCATCATCATCAACATCATCGATGACCACCATCACGAAAATTTTTTTTTTTTTTATTGCAACTTGTAACGTAACAAACATCACCGGATATAAAACGATGGTAAAAAATCATCTGATTCAATTTATCGAATTATTTCAAATCGATTAATCGTTATGGGAAAAAGAAAATGACGACGAGACATCATCAACAAACAATTACAAAATTTTATGCTTCTCGTTCTTCGCGTTGACCATTTCATCCGTGATGGACACTTAAAATTGGTAAAACGATTTTCCGTGATGTATTAAAACGTGTGAACATTTTTCACACGTGCACGCGCACGTTGGATTTCCGTGTAAATTTTTCAAATGCAAAAAAATTATAAAATTACTATTTTCTTTTTTTTAACAAGCTATCAAATCTTAGGCGTGCATAAGGAGGTCATCACCTCTTCTCGATCCTGATAAACTAATTACAACCAAATTAAAATTTGCTTCTTCTCTTCTTTCTTTTTCTCTCTTTAATTTTTATCAAATTTTAAAGATTAACATTAAAAGATGATTAAAAAAAACGACATTTTGTTCCATCGCTTTACCTCTAAACAATATCGAAAAGATGGCGGCTTGTTAAGTTTGTACGTTGATGACACGTTAAGTTTGTACGTTTTTTTTTATATCATAAACAAAATCGAATTAAGTTCAATCGATAAAAACTTTTCGATTATTACCAGATATTAATTAACGAATGATTTTAAATTGTTTTTGTTGAGATTCACATGAATCACGATTACCAACTTTCCATTTTTTATAAAATCACACCCGAACAGAATGATTCATAGTCTTTAAATAATTTCATAATCGAAACGTTTTGTTTATATTGTTCGTACAAACATTTCCATTTAAAAATTTTTTTTTGTCTTATCTGTTGAAGTAACGACAATAAATAATCTGACTCATCTTCTTACTATTACTTTACAAGATTTTTCTACTAAAAATAAAGAATTTCAAAATTTATTTTAATAATTTTTAATTTCTCACCCTTCGTTTGAAAATGCCATAAAATGGTTGCTTTCGTTGGTGACACGGACACGTTGATCGTTCTATCTTTTAATTCCACGTCCATGTTAACGATGCCCAAATGAGGTTTCCAACAAAGGGTTCGATTTCCTTTTAAATTTTCAAATGATCTCGTGTAAATTTCCATTTGTTGTTTAACAAATTGAGGGAGTTCGAGTGTTTCCTCTTTGAAAAGAGGCCAAAATGGCGCGGAAAGAATTTTCGCATTCGTCGGATAAGCTTGTTCTATTAAATTTAAATCTGCTTCGCAATGAAGATGGGCGTTTATTCTTTTCGAATCGTAAATATCTTTTAGCATGACCTCACACGTATGCATGTGACTTTCACCAAATCTAAAACGAATCAAAAAAAAAATTACGTAATACGATTTTTTTGTAGATTTAAATGATGAATACAATTTTTTTTTTTTTTTTTACCTAAGTTTAAGTAATTCCAAATATCGATATTCTTTTTCTGTATCGTAATTCCAAGATGTTAATAATCTTTCCGCGAGTAGAGTCGTGTATTCTTTAACAAATAAGTCTTTGCTACCATAAACGTTTACTAACATGGATATAACATCCGAAGTTCTTCTACTTTTGGACGGTTTAGCTAAAAGTAATAAATTTAATTAACACGTGACCGACAAATCGTTTTTTTTTTTTACATTTAAAAAGAAAAAATCGCACTTGTATCGGCATCGATGGGATCTGGATTCCATGATTCCCAATTTTCAAAATCTTCTTCGCTGGGTGATCCTTCAAAAGTTGGCGAACTTTCTCCACGAACCAATTCATCAGCCAATTCAGATTGACCATCATCCAGTAGATTGTTTATGACACAACGTATAGCATCTTCTCTTTGCCTTAGGTAATGCCTAAAAGTTTAAAATGTTTAAAACATTCGCATATTTAAATTTTAACAAATTTTCCATGAGAAAACCAACCTTACAGGATGAGTGACTGTTTCGAGTAAAACTCCTGTCGGATCTAAATGTCTTAAAGCTTTTATGGCTGATATGTAAGCAGTTAATACATCTGGAGTGTTGACACCTGGATGAAGAAGTCTAGTTTCTAATGTTCTTTGAAATTTTTGTGTGAGATCATTTCTTAAATCCGTTTTTTGCAAACATATTCTTAAATCTTCGATGGCAGGTTGTGATTCAGGATACTCTAAAATTAAATTTTCATTATTTTTAATCGATTTACAATTTGTTTTAAAAAACTCAAAATGTAATCAAATTGTTTCTCACCTATGATAATTAAAAATAATTCTTCTATTCTAGTTTGTGTATAAGTCTCATATAACAAATGAAATAATTTTTGTTCAAATTTTTTTATCGTTTTTTGAGTTGCATCAGGTATAACAGTTACATTTCCTCCATAAATATTTATGAGCCATCCCACCACGACAGATTTGAGCCACTAAATTTAAAAAATAATAAAATAAACATATATATATATATATAAATATTCGAAATCAAAGAGATCAATTAATTAAAATAATGGAAACAAACCATTTCTAATGAATCTATGTAAGATACGAAAAAGTTTCCTTTACACGTTTCCTGAACATGATTTTCAATTCGTTTATGAATTAAATTTGTCAGTACATCACCAGCGATTCTTTCTAATAAATCATATTCCATAAGTTTACTATTAACTTCTGAAAATATTCTTTTTATTTCTTGACACAAACAATTTTCTAATGTGTTATCGCATCCACCACACTGAACGACAACTTCATTCGAATCATCGGAATCAGAATTTAAAAATACTTTAAATGATACTTTATAAAAATCTTTAACAATTTTTAAACTTTTAGAAAGGATTCCTACATGAAGAGATGATCTAACTATAACTTTAAATGTATCAAAAACAGTTTTTTCTCTGTATATCATTTGTTCACTATTTTCAATATTTATTAATTCTTGTAATGTATTTATAACTGGCCTAAAATTTAACAGACTACTGTATAATGAATCGACAGCCTCTTTAAATCTAGTGAATCCATCCATTAGTGATAATTCCAGAGTGTCATTTTCAGGAAAAAATGACCAGAAAACATCAGAGATGGATCTCATGTGTTTTTCCAACTGACAAAGAACTAATTCTTGTACTGTATTCGTCAGACCACATTGGTAAATACAAATTAAAGCTGCAAATGAAGGTTTTTGCATTTCTGAAAACTAAAAAAGATAAAACATTACTCGTACTGAAAAGATACTAAATGCATAAATATGATAAAATCTTAACTTATGGTTATTATTATTTTAAAAAATTTGAAAAAAGTAATACATAAATGAACTGTAAAGCTGAATAATATTTTTTAAAGGATTAATAATTTTAGGCATCATATCAGAAATCAGAATTATTTACTCGAAAAAAAAATATGTGAAATAATAATGTAAAATCATTTTAATATAATTTATTTCATTTTTTAGCTATTAACAAATCAAATTTCTAAGCTTTACATTATTATCTCATTATAATTTTTTTTAAAATCGGTCAATTATTGTCATATAAAACCAATAATAAAAATTTTTAATAATGGGGAATATTTTGACAAAAAACAAAAATCCGTTACAAAAAAAAAAAACTTTTTTGAATAATAAAAAAAAAAAAACACAAGAAAGAATAATATATAAGAAATAATTAAAATGAACTTAAATAACATTAAATAAAAAAAAAAATATCAACAAAACAAACCTCACGATTATTTTTAATTATTGGAAATGTATGAAAAATAGCTTTCCAAGCTTCTTCTTTAATTTTTTCATCTTCCACGACCTCCATTTTAACGTTTACGGAAATTCATAAAATACATATATCCATACGAAAGAGAGAGAGAGAGAGATAGAGAGAGAGAGACAAAAAAAAACGAAAGGAAAAAAAAAAAAAAAAAAAAGGGAAAATAAAAGATGGTGACCCTCAATCGGGATGTATGAAAATGAAACGAAGATAACCGAAAATAACCGAAATTCATTCGAATCGGTTTCGTGGCCAATCAGAAATTAGTATGACTTTAACCAGCGGAAGATATACTTCGGACTACGAGATAAAAATTCACGCTCGATCATCGCATGTTCCAAAAAAAAAAAAAAAAAAAAGAAAAGAAATAATTTGTAAGAAAAAACCTTGCTTGCTTCGCCATTTCACACAATGATTTATACAAAAATTTATTTATAAGGTATCACATATTTTTCTTAAATGATTATTATTATTATTTATTTATTTATTTTATTTATTTTAATTATTATTATTATTATTATTTATGTACGAATGGATTTTATTTTAATTTTTTAAAATTTTTTTTTACGCCATCAAGTTACTATTATGATTGTTCGGTCGGCGCGAGTGACAAATATATATATGTGTGTGTGTGTGTGTGTGCGTATGTGCGTGCGTGTGCGTGTATATGCACACATATAAACGCGTATGTGATGGTTAAATACGAGCAGCTATCAACTAAATTTTTTTTTTTTTTTTTATAAAAAATGATTTGAAATCTTTAATATTATTATTATTATTTCATGAATTTTATATATTAACGATCGATTTTTTTTTTTAAACACGAAACGAAATTATTATCAACGGTTTTTTTTTTTAAAATTTAATTTTTAGGTATTATTATTATTATTATTATTATTATTATTATCATCATTATTATTTTTACATTTATTACGACAGAATGAATTTATTAGCGAGAAAAAAAAAGAAAAAAAAAAAAAAAAACTCGTTTTCGACGTGTAGGTTTTCCTTTTTCTCTCTCTCTCTCTCTCACTCACACTGTTGTACGTTTTTTTTTTTTTTTTTGGGTAAGTGAAGCGTTAAGGTGGTGTTAGAAAGTGATAGAGATATATAGATTAATATAAAGTTAGAAAAAGAAGGAAAATAAAGATTTGTACGTACGTAAAAAAAAATTTCGTAACGGTTTTTTTTTTCGTTAATTAGTTAGTCGTTCGTTTTGAACAAAAAGATTTTGTGTTTTTTTTACAACCCCCCGCCCCCGCTCCCCACACTTTTTTTTTTTTAAAGTAAAATAATTAATTTAGTATCGTTAATAATTAATTAATTATTTATTACGTGCATGCGAATCGTTTTTAATTAATTAATTAATTTTTTTATTTATTTAAACGTTTTAATAATAAAATGGCTGACGTTTCGAGTATACGAGTTTCGTTTGTTTTTGATAAATTTAATTTCTCTCTCTCTCTCTCTGTCTCTCTTTTATCGAGTTTGTGTTTGTTACAATCAAAGGAAATGCGTAAATGGAAAATGAAGGATTTAAAGGAAAATAATAATAATAATAATAATAATAATAATAATTTTTTTTTTCGTATTAAATAATCCGGAGTATAACGTTTTCTCGTTTTCTCTCTCTCTCTTCCCGAATTTGTTTTTTTTTTTTTAACGGACAAATAAAAAACGGGAGTAATAGTAGTAGTGATAATAATAATAAAACAATGTTAAATCGAGTTTTTTTTTTTTTAAAGAAAATTCTATAAATAAAATTTAATTTGCATGTTTTCCGATTTGAAAAAAAAAAAAAAAAGGGAGAGAAAATCGAAATCGTTGCATTCGCTCGGCTCCCCATTTTTTTTATTTTTTTTATTTTATTTACATTTTCAATTTAAATGCATCCAAAAATAATAATAATGATGATGATGATGATGATATTAATCGTTTTTTTAAAGCTCGTTTGAATATGTAGAGAATATTTAAAAAAAAAAAAATGTATAAATTGGAAACGACATGACGTTAAAATTTTGTTTTTGTTATTATTATTGCTTTTTCTAATGATTTTATTATTATTATTATTGTTATTGTTATTATTATTATTATTATTATTATTATTATTATTATTATTGTAAATAATTTTTTTTTTTTCATTTCGGTGTTAAATTATACGATTAAAACGAAAACGGAATCACAATGAGTTACGAAATGAGAGGAGAAAAGTTATTAATAAAAAAATGAACATGATTCGTTTGACGTAAAACAAAATAAACATAATCGCATTATTATTATTATTATTACTCGTTTTAACGTACATATATAAACGACGACGATATACGGAATGTGAGAGAGAGAGAGAGAGAGTGAGAGTGAGAGAGAGCGATTGATTTAATTTACTCGGCCGTGAAATTATTATTATTATTAATAATTAAATTATTTTTCATTAGTTTTGTGGAATGAATGCGATGTAAAGAGAAAAATTAAAAAAGGAAAATTTTTTATTTATATATTTAGGACGAATGAGAAAGAGAGAGAGAGAGAGAGAACGAGAGGGGAGGAGAAAGTGAAGTGAGGAGGTAGGGAATGGGAGGGAAAGAAATTTTTGTTGTTGCGATGTTGGCAGTTATCGATGAAATCGTTGCGCCTTTTTTTTTTTTTTTTAAATTTAAAAATTACGTGAATTGAATTGACGTGGAAATAGAAAACAAAAAACGTATTAATTTAAAATAACAAAAACGGGGTAAAAATGTTTAAACGAATTATTTTTACTTTTTTTTTTATTTTTTATTTTAATTTGATTTGATTGCCTTTCTCTCTCTCTCTCTTGCTCTTTCTCTTTGTATCCCTTCCTCTCTTTCTCTTTTTCCTTTTTGCCTCTCTCCCATCCTTTGTCTGTTTTATTATTGCGTCTTTTCCTCTCTTTCTCTCTCTTTCCTTTCTACTTGTCTTTTTTTGGATTTCTGTTTTCCTTTCTTTGTACTTCTCTCTCTCTCTCTCTCTCTCTCTCTGTCTTTTTCTTTTCATTTCTCTCTCATTCTATCTTTCCTTTTTGTCTCTCTTTCGCTTTGTATTTTGCCTCTTTTTCTCTCTTTCTTTTTTGCCTTTCATTGTATTTCTGTCTCTCTTTTCTTTTCTTTTTCCTTTTCCTTTCTCTCTCTTTCTTTCTCTTTGCCTTTGTTTGTCTCTCTTTGTATTACTCTCTCTCATTCTCTTGGCTTCTTTTTGTATCTTTCTCTCTCTCTTTCTTTTTTTGCCCATTTCATCTTTTACCCCTCATTCTCTATCTCTCTCTCTCTCTCTCTCTCTAGCTTTTTATTTTACATCTTTTTCTTTCTCTTTTAGTTTTAACCTTTTCGAAATTTCCGTAATAATTTTTATCTTATTAAACCCCGCTTATCACTTGACGGTTTTTAATAATAATAATAATAATGATAATAATAATAATAATAATAATAATGATAATAATAATAATAATAATAATAATAATAATAATAATAATATTAATAGTAGTAGTAGTAGTAAAAAAAAGAATTAACAATAATTTTTTCACGCTTTTAAGAAAATTTATTTGTTTTATTTTTATTTTTTATTTTTTTTATTTTTTGGAATCTCCAACTGCTGGAGTTTTTTTTTGTTTTGTTTTTTTGTTTTTTGTTCTTTTCCACACGTCGAGTGAAACTGGATATAAATAAATTGTATCGAAAAATTTTATATATAAAACGTTGGCGACATTTTTTTTTTTTTTTTCTCGGGGATCGCTGCTATTTTGGTTTTTTTTTTTTTACCGTTTTATTTTATTATTATCATTATTATTATTTTATCGAATCGTATTTTAAAAGTTTGTCGCAATAAATTAAATTGTCGTTAAAAAAAAAAAAAAATAAAAACGCGTTTTTTTATTTAAAACGAAAAAAAAGGATTTTAATTATACGTTTTTTATCACCGGAATTGAAATAATGAACGTTGAAAACGTTCGTCGTACTCTCTCTCTCTCTCTCTCTCTCTCTCTCTCGTTCGTTTATTCTTTTTTTTTTTTTTTTTCGAAAAGGGTGTTTTAGAAAAGTGAGGGAGGGGGAGGGAGGAGAAGGGTAAGGGTGATGTGAAAAGAGAGAGAAAAGTCAATTTTCTATTGCGAATATTAAAAAAAAAAAAAAAAAAAAAAGAAAAACTTTTCCTTTTTTAAATAAATCGTTTCGTCAGAAAACTTTCTCAACCGTTTCGTCATCATCGTCATCATCATCATTATCATTATCATCACTCTGAATGCATGGAAAAGTGGGAAAACTCATAGAAAAACTCACATCGATAATCGATAAAAAAAATTTTTTCGTTCGGTTTTTAAGTATTAAAGACTAAAGACGAAGTGAGGGGGGAAAAATAATAATAATAATAATAATAATTGTTTCTTTTCTATCTTTCTCTCTCTCTCTCTCTCTAAGCACGCGATGGCGCGTAACAGGTGTGATTAATAAAATCATTCGCTTTTTTTAAACCCGATTATTATTTATTATTATTTATTCCATAGAGTAAATAATAATAAATAATAATTCCATAGAGTAATAAAAAACAATTTTCGTACTGATGTTCTATTTCGAATACTTTTTGGCCTTTATTTTAGCAAAAACAACAACAACAACGAAAAAATATTTTTAGGAAAAATTTTAGCGGGGAAAAAAAAAATACGTTTCGATAATACAAATAATAATAATAATAATAATAATGATAATGATGATGATGACGATGATAAAATGAAAGTTTTCCTCGTGTTTTTCGTACTCGAGTAATAAAGTAAAACAATCTCGAACGTTATCATTTCCGGTTAATAATGCATCGCGGTAATAATTATTTTAATAAATTTATTTATTTATTTATTATTTAATTTTAATTTGCAATAATATGGTTGTAGGAATCGGGGCGGCGTTGATGCCATTTTGAAAAATTTTCTTTTTTTTTTTTGGTAATGTCAAGGTTTCGTTTCGAAAAAAGAAAAAATGGGGAAAAATCTAAGAGTTGATGGTTTTTTGATTACGTGTAATTTTTTCTTTTTTTTTTTTTTTTTTTTCCTAACACACACTTTCCGATAATAATAATAATAATTTATAAGATTGTAATAAATTTTATTGTGAATACATATATGAAAACGGGGGGGGGGGGGAGCAGTAACAAAAGCCCAGAAAAAAAAGCCAAGTTTCGAAACAAAAGAAAATTCTTTTTTCCAAAAAAAAAAAAGAAAAAAAAATCGGGTTAAAATGTCCTATGATTAATTTTTTGAAGAGAGAGAGAGAGAGAGAGAGAGAGATGGGGAAGGGGAGGGGGCGGAAAATTTTCTACGGGTTTTTCATTCCAATTTTTTTTTTTTTTCTTACTTTTTTTTTTTTTTTACGGTCACTTTTTCTAGGGGTTTTTTTTTTTCTTTTCTCACGTCTTTTCTCCTTTGAAAAATTGAAATAAAAAAAAACCGGAAATGGTAATGATAATGATGATAATGCATATATAACGACAGTTTTTCCGTTTTCATAAAAAAAAAAAAAAAAAAAAAGTAAGTTTTGTTGTTATGTTTAACGCGACGAAACGTTCAAAGCGCAGAATCATTTTCTATCTAATATGGATGAATGTGTTAAGGGATGATTTTACCGTTTTCCCTCTTTTATCCGTGAGTTTCCCTTAATCCCTCCCCTCCCTCCCCCCTCTCCACAAATCCCTTTCGAAACATTCCCTTTTTCCTCATCATCATCATCATCGTTTTTCCCGTTTTATACTGTTTGCGAGAGAGAGAGAGAAAGCTTTAAAAGACTGGAAATTCCTTGATATTTATTATACACGCACACACGCACACGCACACACACACACACATATGTATGTATATATATTTACATAAATATGTTTATGTTTATGTTTATGTTCGAGTGAACAACGAAACAAATAACGAACTGAACAACTGAATAACGAACCTACCGGTAAATTTTTCTTCATTTTATTTTCGAAACGTCATTTTTGTATTTATTTATTATTATTAATATTTCTTTTTCGTTTAGCTTTTTCCTTTTCGTACTGTTTTTCGTTTGTATCATTATTATTATCATTATTATTATTAATCTTTTTTAAAAAAAAAAAAACGTTTCGTTTTTAAATATTTCCCTTTTACATGAAAGAAATAGAGAGAAAGTTTATTATTAATTTACAGTAAACTAATTCTCACGGGAAAAACGAAAAACGAAAAACAAAAAAAAAGGTTTAAATGGCGTCGTCGTGTTTTTAAACTTTGCTTATTTATATAATTTCGTTTTTTAAAATTATATAAAAAATAATAAAAAGTAGCAGAAGAAAAAAATTACGTAATAAATCTATTAATATTATTATTATTATTATTATTTTTAACCGTTTTAGTCGTCGTCGTCGTCATCGTCATCATCACAGTCGCAGTAGGATTAAGAAAACATTTTTTTTTTTTTTAGACGGTTAATTGAATATTCAATCGTGATGATGATGATGATGATGATGCCGTTGTTTTTGTCGTTTTCGGGTTACAAAAAAAAAAAAAAAAGGAAAAACAAAGGATAATTATTATTATTATTATTACGCGCTGTCGTTGTCGTTTGTTTCGCGTTCGAGACTATAACTGTAGTCGTGGAATTGTTGTCGCGCTGTCGGTTTTTTTTTTTTTCTGCCTAACGTCACTCAGATTCGACTTTTATTATAATAACAATTATTATTATTATCAATATCATCATCATCATCATCATCATAGTTTTTTTTTAAAGTTTAAAGTTCGGTTATTTGTAATTTTTTGAAATTTTTGACCGGAAATCAAGAGTGAGGAACATGTCGAAAAACCGTAAGTTAAACATTTGATTGAAAAATCAAAACGGTGGGTCGGGGGGGATGGGGGTGGTTGGGTGGAGAGTAAAATTTCGAATTTTTTTTTTTTTTAAATGACACACGCACGCACACAAACACGCGTTCACGGATTTTCTAATTAACGATGATGATAATAATAAAATAATAAATATTATTATTGTAACCGTTACTCTTTATTATTATTATTATTATTATTATTATTTGTTTTATTTTACACGCACGCCACGAGTTCTTACATTTGGTTACATACGTTTGTTTGTTTGTTTGTTTGTTTTTTACGGTTGTTTTCATACGAATCGTCGTTCGAAGTCTATTAAAATGATTAAAAAAAAAAAAAAAAATGCGCGTTTAACTCTTATTGCCTGATTACTTTTGTGTTAAACAGTAGTAATAAGTAGTAGTTATAATAATAATAATAATAATAATAATAATAATAATAATAATAATAATAATAATAATAATAAGTAGTAGTAGTAGTAGTAGTAGTAGTTGTGAAACGTTAAAACTAATACAGATAAAAAAAAAATAAACGAAGAGAGAAAAAGAGAGTGAGAGTGAGTGAGAGAGATGTATGATTTTTTTATTTTTTAAGTCTTGTATTATTTATCGGGAAAAGTTTTTTTCGAGTTTTCCTTTTTTTTCCATTTTTTTTTCTTTTTTTTTCATTTTTTCCTTTTTTCCTTTTTTATCCGTATTTATCATTTTATTTATTTATGTATTTTCGATTTGTTTTTTATTTATTTAAACCCGAACCTGGTATTTAACCAATCGGGATTATTTATATACGATAGAAGGGAAAAATTGTTCGATTTTCCAAAATCGAAATTTCCTATAAAAAAATTTTTATTCTTAACGTTGGGAGAATAAGAAACCCCCCCCCTCCGCTCCCCAGTAAAAGTTCGAGTTCCGTAATCGATGTTTCTCGCAATAAAAACGTTTATTTATTTATTTATTTATTATTATCATTATTATTTTTATTATTATTTTTTAAAACGCGATTTTGTTTCGTTTAGTTTTTTTAAACACAAATTAAACGTTTGTTTGTTTGTTTGTTCGTTTGTCGCGGCTGCATTTGAATTAAAAAAATAGATATTTTTAAAACAAAAATGAATGAGAGAAATAAAATTTTCCAGAGTTTTCCCCTTTTTTTTTTTTTCATTTTTTTTTTAAAATTATGTTTATTAAATGTCGTTTTTGTCGTTGTTGTTGTCTTTGTCTTTGTCGTAGTCGCTGTTTGTTATTGTTATTGTTGTTCGAGAAAAAAAATATTATTTAATCATTTCCTTATTTTATTTTACTCGTTTTTTTTTTTCTTTTTCGAGAAAATAACAGAAAAAACGTGTCGTTAAATAACATTTTGTTGTTAACGTTTGTTGTTTACGAAAAAAAAAAAGGACAAACATTTATTATTATTATTATTATTATTATTACTATTATTATTATTTTATTAGTTCCGGTGTCTGAAGAAAAACAATTTTTTTTTTTTAGTCGTAAGAAAACAGGCACGATTCGATTTCTACATGCATGCAATTCATTTTATTTTTCGATTCGTTTTTTTTTTTTCCGATCGTTATAAAATAATAAAATGATGATAATGATGATGATAAAGATGATGATGATGATGATAATGATGATGATGATGATGGTTATAATTATTATTATTATTATTACTAAGTTATAACTAATTTATTACCGACTAACAAGTTTTAATCAATGTTACAATTTTTTTCGGTACGTAATAAAAATTAATTTTTTTTGCAAACCGGAAATGATTGAAAGAAAAATAAAATGAAATGAAAAATTTAAAGAAATTTTTTTTTTTTTTTTTTGTTTCCGGAAAACCGATCGCGGAATTTTATATCAACGCGTAAAAAAAATTTTTTTTAATGTTTTTATCCGGTCGCCATTTTTAGTTTTGCGAAAGGAATATCTCGTAGTGGTGCGAAACGATTTTATATTATTATTATTATTATTATTATTTTGTTTTAGTTTTCCTTTGTATAAAATCGATTTTCTTTATAAAATTAAGAGATTTTTTTTTTTTTTTTTTTTTTCGAAAAAAAAATGAAAATTTTCGAATTCGTGGGAAAAGTTTATAAGGCAAATTTAATTACTTGAAAATTTCACGCATTTTTTTTTAATCGTCGATTGTTTTGTTTTGTTTTGTTTGTTTACTTTTTCTTCCCCTTTTTAATCTATTACAACCGCCACCGCTACCACCACCACCACCACCGCCATTACTACTAAAGACAATCGATTGTTATCCTTTCTCCCGAAGAAAAATCTTTTCGACTTTTCCTCGTTCTAAAAAAATTTTCTCTCCCAATCATAGTAAACAATCGGAATATGTTTGTTTTCTTTCTTTTCCTTTTTACTTTTACTTTCTTTCCCGCAACAAAAAAGTTATCGTTTCCGGTGTCATGTAAAAATGATTTTAACGACGACGATGAGAAAAAAGAAAAATTGTTACGACACGAACGGAAAATCGTTTTTCGACGATAATGCGTAACGAGGGAAATGCCCAGCTTGCGTTATCAGATTGTTTTGATAATAACACAAAAAAAGGAAAAAAGGAAAAATTTTTCCCTTTTATTATTTTCCGGGTTCCCCCCTCTCCCCACCCACCCCCCGTTTACTTATTGTTTGTTGTGTTTGTAATTTTGATTTTGTCATTTTAACCGTTTATAAAATGATAAAAATCCATTTTCATGTTTTTCATTATTATTATTATTATTGTTAATTTTTTTTTACATTGTTTGTTTGTTTGTTTGTTTTTCATTACGAAGGAATGAATTTTCATTTGATCATCATTTGTTTGTTTTCTTTTATCACAGGTATTATGGAAATGATTAGAGGTATCAGTTAGGTATCTCTTTCCAGTCAGTATTAGGGAGGGGTACGAGATAGTAAAAAAAATCAATTCTCTCTCTCATACACACAGACACACAAACACATTTACTCACTCACTCACACACACACACACAAAAACATTCCAAATGATTATGGATGTCCAAATAAAGGACATTCGACCTGGACAGAAAAACCTCAACGTGGTTTTTATAATATTGGAAGTGGGTCATCCGACGATAACGAAAGAAAATCGAGAGGTACGATCTTGCAAGGTGGCAGACGCGACGGCATGCATAAACGTGTCGATATGGGACGAACCGGGTCAGCATTTGGTACCGGGAGACATAGTCAAATTGACGAGAGGCTACGCGGCAGTTTTCCGGGATTCTCTAACTCTATATACGGGTAAAACGGGAGATTTGCAAAAAATCGGAGAGTTTTGCATGGTTTTTAACGAACAGTTAAACATGAGCGAACCGAATCCGTCACTTTCGGCACAATATGCTACGGCGAACAATTTATTAGTTAATAGCAACGGTCCCTCACCGAATCCGAACATGGTCGTCACAAACAACGGATCGAGGCAACCCATGATGACGCCGAATCAATCGACTCAATTACCCCCATCCGGTCCTCAAATGGTTCAAAATTCAATGGGACAACCCAAGACGAACGCGAGAGGAGATGGAGCAAACAACGGATCGACGTCGAGGTTTAACAGTAACAATAACAACAACAACAACAACAGTAGTAGTGGTAATGGTGGTGGTGGTAGCGGTAGTAGCGGCGGAAGTAATAATAACACCAACAGCGACAACGGAAACGGTGGTGGTAAAAGTTCCGTTTTGAATAGAAGCATGTCAAGGGGCAGAAATTCGGGTGGACCGAGAAACGGTTCGAGAGAAAGGAGGTAATAATGCCGTAAATTTCCGCGGCACGAATTTGTGTGAGTGCCTTTCGACGATGATGACGACGACGACGACGACGACGATGGCCTTTGACCTCATTTAAGAAATTCAAAAGACTGAACTTTTTAATTTATAAAAAAAAAAAAAATTTTTTTTTGTCTTCGTCTCGATAAAGAAATGCAACGTTTTATATTTGTTTTATATATATATATATATATATAGTGAGATCGATCGTATATTCTAATTATAATAATTGAAATAACGTTAAATTTCGTGGGGGGTGGTGCGTCCCCCCTCCCCCCCAATGCACATCAAACGTTTTCGCGAACGTTCGTCGTTAAAAATTACAAACAAAACAAAAAATAAATAAATAAATAAATTTAAAAAAAATTTTTTTTTTTTTTCTGTTTTTTACATACACGATAAAAAAAAATTGATCGTTAATTAAAACGATGACGTAAATGAAAATGATGATGATGATGATGATGATGATAAAATTATTATTATTATTATTATTAATTTTAAATCGTTAAGTTGGTTGTGTATCGAAAATGGGAACCGGAAATGTTTTTTTTTTTTTAAGCTCTAAACGAACGAACGAGGTTATATTGACCTCTCTTTCTCTCCCTCTCTCTATCTCTCTCTTTTTCTTTCTCTCTCTCTCTCTCTCTCTTTTTCTTTCTCTCTCTCTCTCTCTCTCACCTTTACTATTTTCCAAATGGTCCTAAGGAAAAGGAAAATTTAAAATAATTTCGAGTTTTCCATAAAATTTAAACTCGTCTCGTAAATTTTTCAGGTGTGTGTGTGTGTGTGTGTCAGACTACTGCCACGACATTTAAATGATTAATTTGTTTTTTAACCGCCATATTTATTATTTTCCGACTCTTTTTTCGTAAAGGGGAAAAATTATAAATCAAAAAATAAAAAATTTTCAACGTTTTCAAAATCGGGGGAAGGGGGGGAAGCGGCGGGAGCGGAATTTTCCATTCGTAATTACGTCCCTTTAAAAGTTTTTTTTTTTTTTTTTTTTTTCGTGTTTGACGTATTAAAGTGATGGAATTTTTTTTTCTTTCCTTCCTTCCTTTTTAAATCGGATTAATCATTCATTCATTCATTCATTTATTCATTCATTCATTCACCCATTCGTTCGTTCGTTCGTTTTACATAGTACGGATTTTTTTTTTTTAATTACGTACGAACAAAAAAAAAAGTCTGTAAAAATAATTAAACGGGATGGATTTGAATCGCGAAGACATTTTTTTTTTTTTTTTTTTATTACAAAACAACGTAATCGGGTATTTATTTATTTATTTTGTCGTTTGTCGTTTGTTTTATTCCTCATCCTTTGTTGTTGTTGTCTTGTTTCGTTACGGTCGTTTCATAGAACCGCGGTATTATTTTATTATTATTATTATTATTATTTTACTTGTTGCATTTTTGTTGTTGTTGTTTGATTGCTTTAAGGTTGATAAACGTAGTCGTTGATTTGACCTTGGAAAAATTAAACTCGATTCTAGTGGCATTTTTCGCATTAGGTTTTTTTTTTTTTTTTTAAATAAAATTTAAATTTCGCGACCGACCTGATTTTTTTCTCGCTTTGTTAAGCCCCCCCCCATCCTTCCCCTCCTCTCCATGTATTATCATTATCACGTCGGGAAAAAAACGGAAAAAAAATAATAATGATTTTTTTACTCGGGTATTTGTCTGTTTGTTTGTTAAAACAAAACCGGTAAACGGGTTGCGGTTTCCTGTTTTTTTACCCCGCCCCCCTCACTTCCTCCTCCCTTAAATTTTTCGACGTATAATGTTTCTCAAAACCTCATATATATCACGTTCGAAATCAATATTTCCACTCGGGAAAAAAATTTTCAGGTACAAAAAAAAAAAAAAGAAAAAAAATTTTTTCGTATTGTTCTCTCTTTCTCTCTCTCTCACACACACACACTTCGTCGTCTTTAAATACGGTTCTTAAACAACAAATACGGTTTTAAAATGTGTGAAAAAGTCATAATAATAATAATAATAATAATAATAAGCGAAACGAAAAGGCCAAGGTTGTTGCAAAATGAATAATGTTTTAAAAAGTAAAACGCGGGGAAAATTCCAGGTACCTTTAAAATTACGCGAACGTTAATTACTTTTGATAATTTTTTATTTATTTATTCAGGTGTTATTTCGCGTTAAATGTGTTCTCCCATATTGTTAATTATTACAAAAGATGTCTTTAAACAAGGCGGTGAAAAAAACTTTTCCCTTTAAATATCTATTCATTTTCAGACCCTAATCCTAACCCGAAACTTAAATTTAATGAAAAAGAGAGAGGGGGAGAGAGAGAGAGAGAGATAGAAATTAATTTGAAATACTTTAATGATATCATATAAATATATATATATAAATATGAAAGTGCAGTCAGTACTAAGACAGGTATAAAAATCGGTTTGTGGTTTTTTATTATTATAATTATTATCGCTGAGGTCGAACCTGAATTGGTTGTGGCAAATCTGCCCTAAGGCTCATCATCGCCTTATTTTATATAAAAAAAAAAAAAATCGAACGTTCGTAAAAAGGTTCACATTTAAAAAAAAAAAGGTAGATTTGTTTTTGCGTCAATCAAGGTAAAACAGCTTCGTGTGATGTTAATGCAAGCAATGGATAATTTTCGTCAGGTTCGGGAAATGTTAACGAAGAATCATCAGATTCAATCGATACGGTTTGATAATCTAGAGACATCCATGCAAAAATAAACATGTCAACAAATATGAGAGCAGCAAAAAGGAAAAATTCGTCCGCCTGAATAAATAAATAAAAAAAAAGAAAGAAAGAAAAGAAGAAGTCGTTAAGAGAGGAAAGAAGAAAAAAAAAATTACGGTTGAATTTTCACATACCTGATTTGAGAAAAACTGTGCTTGAGTTATTATTATTACTAGTAAATTTCCACAAGCGACGGAGAAATACCAGGCGGCCATTGTCACTGTTTTCATACTTTTCGGAGCCTGAAAAAAAAAAAAAGATTAAATCAAAAATTTTTTTTTTTTTGTGGTGACCTCTTAAATATTATAATAATTTTTTTTTTTTTTGAAATTTTTATCTGTTTGTGAAATATGACGTCATGAGTGTGTGTGTCGTTATAATATCAGGTTCGTGTCATTAACCGTACCTGTGTAAATGAAAATTCTAAACCAGATATTGCAAACATAACTTCTGCTATTGAAAGAAACACATACTGTGGAATAATCCAAAACATATGAATGGTGTTAGGAGGTGTCATGGCGTATAATTTGGCAAACTGAAATAATAATAATAATAATGTTTTAGGGAAGTTAATTAAACGTCAACGCCTTGTGGAAAATTTAAAGAGAGAAAAACTCACAACAATATTTCTGTTGTATTCACGCATGACAAGACTATACACGCCACCTAATTCTAAATTAAGACCTCCTTCAAATTCCGTACGTTGAGATTCTGGATAAAAAACGGAAAAACCATACCTGAAACGAAAGAAAAAGTGTCTGACTCCGTTTTTTTTTTTTTTTAAGGTTTCATAAACATTTTTTTAACTTACTGTCCTGGTAATAGTTCCAAATAAGCAGACACTCCAATGGCTACCTCTGGAACAAAATAAATATCACTAAATCCTACGTTGTTTTTTATCGTGATGGTAACTTTTTCGAAAGGTTTATCGCTGCTCCTTAAAACGCTCAACCTGAAACCATTTTCATTTTTTTTTTTTTACAAATAATTTTACTTGTAATTACGAAACCGTAAATATTTTTATACAGGCACGAATCAAGGTTTTGATAATTTTTTTTTTTGTTAAAAAAAAGAAAGTTCAATGTACTTAACCTTAATTTAGGTTTACCACTTAGAGTTTTCTTTAAATCTTCTAAATCTGATAGGTAACATTCAATTTTTTTATTTTCAATTCCTATTAATACGGTTCGTACCTGAAAAAAAAATTATAATAATATTAATATTTAAATAAAATTTATTTCCTGTTGTTGTTGTGTTTTTTAAATGTTTAAAAAATAAAAAAATGGGGGGGGGGGGGTAAAAGAATTTTAATTTAATTAAATTTTTTTAGGAGGGAATGAGAAAAGGTTGAAAGGTTCAACCATTTTTTTTTTCTTTTTCGAGGTTTATTTGTTTTAATTATTGATCAATTTTCCCTTAAATTAAATTTAAAACTAAATTATACGCTCTCGTGCGCGTGCGTGTTGCATAATTTAAATCTCAAAGGATTTACCTCTCGTTCCGTTACTGGAACGGCAATTTCCATGTGTCTACTGTTCATGGGTGTATTTTTACAATTGTCCATGGCGGATAAAACGACATTGTATTCCGTTTTATTGAAAACAGGAATTTTTTTAATTGTCGTCATGTCACCCATGGACAATGTACGAGAATTCCCTTTGCTGTCGGTTATCATCAAATCGCACGGTAGGGAATTGACGAAATTAATAAATGCTTCTCCCTTCGAGGGTAGCATCGGATACGTTTGTTCCAATTCGTATTCGAGCACACCGGAGCATATGAATGCCAAACCGGCTATGAAACCTCCTGCTACCATTCTTTGCAAAGGTGATACCTGTCAATACAAACATTCATTTCATATTAGAGTTATCAAGTAATGATAAATGAAAAAAAAAAAAATTTTTTTTACCAAAACGTGACAGCTTCCTAAACACGGATATATTCCTTTATTAAATAATGGAATTAAAAGAAGAACAAGAGCCGGATTAATGACTTGTATTTGATCAGGCATTATTTGATAACCAAAAACTTCACCGTTCATTCTGGATGCTTGAAATGTCCATCTGGAGCCCTTAAATAAACAATTATTATTATTTTATATCAAAACAAAAAAAAAAATTTTAAAAAGATTTAATTTAAAATTTTTAGAACTTATTAAAACGCTGAACCAGAAATTTAATAACATGTGAATCAAACCTTGATTCTAAAAATTCGTGTAAGTACCTGTTGATCAAACAAACTCCAAAAAATAGGTAGTGGAAAGAAAAGGTACAAAATAGCCAAAACGTTTTTCATATCGGATATTAATTTTGCATCGAATTTTTTTTCTGCGTAGGATAACCAATGACGATTAGGATCTTTTTCTTTCGTTCTAATTTTTGTACAAATTGCATACTGCAATTAAAAATTGGGATTAATTACGATTTCGTATTTCAAATTCTCCGGGTACTTAAACGGGTATCAAAATTTTACTACCATCATGCACGTGGTAAATCTGACCATAATATTTTGTTTTGGAAATTTAATACGATAAAGAGGTTTTCCAGCAATGAATAAACCTTAAAAAAAACACAAACGCAAGAAATAATTTTTTTTTTTATGGAAAATTTTATTTAATAATGGAAAATGATATTACCAAGTGATATTATCATTAAAGCAGCTGGAAATCCAAAACCCAAAGAATAACACGTATCATCACCGAAACACGTGATGGCTTTTCTTAATATCGGTGTTAAAATCATTCCAACGAATCCACCAAAATTAATTGTAAAATAAAAAATTGCAAAAAACTGTTTGAGAAGATGTTCTTGCTGAGGGACTTTAAATTGATCACCACCAAAAGCAGCCACACAGGGTTTTATACCACCCGTTCCTGTTGCTATTAATGACAATCCAATCATTGTGAATGTTCTATATAAAAAAAAAAAACATGGATTAGAATAACAAAAATGGTTGAAATGTTGAAAATGAAAATAAATTCTTACACTGGTTCCAAACCAATTGGTGGAGTTGCTGCAAAACACATTACTATATTACCAACAGTATAAATAACGGAAAAATAAAGTATGGTACGAAATCTTCCTAAACAACTATCGGCTAATATGGCACCGATAACAGGTACGAAATAGCACATCATAATAAAAACGTGGTAGACGACGGTTGCTTTGTTTTCGTGAAAAAGTAAAATGTTTCGAAGGTACAGAGACAAGATTGCTGGAAAATTATTTATGTTTGTAACACATTTTCATTGTGAAAAAATGAATGAGTTTTATATTAATTTTACTCACTTCTTAAACCGCAAAATGAAAAACGTTCGCAAAATTCCGTTGCGATAATAAGAAATATCGAACGTGGATATTCCATATCCGGTTTGTTTTTGTTATCTAATGATTGTGTCATGAATATTCTAACGCTTTTTTTCGAACGTTCTTTTTTGTTGTTGGCCAAGTCTTTTTGACTTTTTTTCCTACTATTAAGATAATTTTTAACATTTTTCTTTGTTAAAAGAGATAATTTTGAATCACTCAATGGAGCTTTTTTAAAATCTTGATTCGGGGAAAGTTTCGAAACATCAAATATACACAATCTCGAACATTTTTTACAATATTTGGTGGACGGATTACTGGTATCAATACTGCTGATACTGCAAACACAAGTTTTTGAACTTTCACACAGGGATGATGTATTCGACCTAAAATTATTATAATAATAATAACAATAATTTATATTTTTTTTTTTTTTTTGTTCGTGTTTGCGTTTGTAAATAATGATTGACGTTAAAAATTTTAACGAGTACTTTTCGACCTAGTTCCCATTACAAGTAAATAACTCACAAAAACAAAAAAAAAAAGAAATTTTTACATTTAATTGATTTCAAAACGATATTGATAAGATATTCCATACAAAATATTTATGTTTACATGTAGACATTTATAAATTAAATTAAAAACTCCGGTATTATTTATTACAAATAATAAAAAAAAAAAAAACAAAACAAACAATTATCGTGTCTACAACGTTCAATAACATTTAATTGAAAAAAAGGAAACGCCGCCATTTTGAATATTTGAATTTTGAATATGGAAGTTTTTGAGCGGTTTAAATTTTCAATACGTTACATTATATTGGTAAATAACGTATTTTTATTTTTATTGATATCATTTAAATTATTACATTCAATTAAAAATTTAAAATGTCTTTTTTTTTTTTTTTTTTTTTTCATTTTGTTATAATAATAATTCGATTGTAATTTTTTCAAAAATAATTGGATTTTCCTTTTCACTGTAAAAAATAATACATGTGATAAAGGTTAATATCAATCGTTACTATTTAGGCTCCCCACTTGCAGCTTCTGTATTATCAGTTTTTTTTTTTTTTTTTCTTTAATCTTTGATGTAAAAATGATAAAAAAAATAATTGAGGAAATAATAAGTTATCCCAATGGATTAAATTATTTTTCTTCTTATTTATTTTACCTCTACAAATAATTTCAACACATGTAAACTTTATTATTTGTAAAACTGTAGTAAATAAACAATATTTTAATTTAACAATTCTATCATCATCATCATTAGGGAAAATATCAATAATAATAAATCAAACAAATCAATAAACACAATTTAAATTGAGTTTAGGCTCAAAAAAAGGAAAATAATGTTTAACCATTTACTTTTACACATAATAATAATAATTATAAATAAATTATATAAACATTACATGATTGATTAAATAAATCAATATTCAAATAATAGATAAATGTAAATTTTATTTTAAAACAAATTAAATCAAGGGATTATGTATTAACACGTGATTGAAAATGTTTCACTTTTGAAAGTTGGTATAATAACTGACATGTAAATGACTACTACAACAACAAAAACAACGACAACAACAACAACAAAAACAACAACAACAACAACAAAACAACAACAACAGAAACAAAAACAACAGCAACAAAAATAACAGAAACATCGACAACAAAAACAACAACAAAAACAACAAAAACAAAAACAACAACAACAACAAAAACAACAGCAACAACAACAACAACAGAAACAACAACAAAAACAGCAACAACAACAGAAACAACAATAACAGAAACAACAGAACCAACAAAAACAACAACAAAAAATTATATTATATCAAATACTTTTTCTTCATGTCTACAATTCAACCTGTTTTAAAAACTTTTTAATGAATACTTTCATTATAAGTTATGAACCTTAATGAATGAACCTGACTGCCTGACTCATTTACACTCACATATAAACATTTGTATGAGATAATTAAGAAAATATTGAAGAAATGTCAAAAAAATCTATTCAATCATTTCATAAAATAAACAAAAAGTCAACATTAATTATAGTTATAATAATATTTATGATTAAAATTGTTGTTATTTTTTAATAAAAATTAAAACTTTTGATATTTAATCACTCCATAATTTCTTCTTTCATTCATTCATTCATTCACATTACGTATTATTTCATGTTGCGATCATTCAATACATAGAAATTCAATCATTTCCCTCCTCGCCCCCTCACCCTCCATAATAATTATTTGCATTTGCTTAACAATTATAACTAATAAATTAAATTTATTATTTCAAATTTAAGTAAAACTTTTTTATGAAAATTTTAAAGGTGTCAAATTTTTTTTTTTTGAAAATAATAATAATAATAATAATAATAATAATAAATCATTCTTATCAACAATTGTTATACATTTGATGTGTATAATTTCTTATCAGATATCAAATTTTAAAAGTTTTTTAATAAATATATTAATTCATTACCTGTTCAAACTTCATCCGGATAAAATATGGATTTAAATAACGAACCCGAAAATAAGAGTAAGTTTATCATTATTATTATTATTATTTGTAACAAAATATTATTTATTAATATTATTAGTTTAATTGTAAATTTTTTTTTTTGGTAAATTAATAAAATTAAAAAAAAAAAATCCTACGATCGATATAAGCACATGGTCGTTACGAAATGTTAATAATTAATCCCACTCATTTATAAAATAATCATAATAATAATTTTTTTTTTTTCGAAATAAAAAAAAAAACAAGGTTTCAGGTACTTTAAAATTATTCGTATAACATTTTTAAAAATATTAACCTTTTCTAAGGTCGACAACGATTATATATGATAATATGTGAAAATTTTGAAATTCGTCTTGAATTTTATTGTTAATTCCTTGAATGTTTAAAAATGGGTACAATGTCAAATTTGCAAAAAAAAGGAACGAACGAAATGCTTTGGAATAAATAATAATAATAATAATAATAATAATAATAATAATAATAATAATAATAATAATAATAATAATGATAATAATAATAATAATAATAATAATTATGCGCAAAACTCGTTTCTGGTTTAAAACGAAAGATTTATTATCGACTCGTTTCAAAAACTTATTAAAAATCAATCGCGGGGGGAGGGAAAATGGGAGGAGAAGGGAAGGGAGAGGGGCAGGTGGGAAATCGTTAAATTATGTGTGTGGTCGTCGACATGGAATTACATTAATATTATTATTATCGGAAATTAATAAATAATTATAAGTGGTGGTAAGTAAGTACTAGTAAGTTACTCTCTTGGCAACAAATCATTTAATACACTTGACCCGAGTCCCTGTATTATTATTATTATTATTATTATTATTATTATTATTATTATTATTATTATTATTATTATCAATGTTAAAATATCTCTCTATTCTCTCTCTCTCTCTCTCTTTGTTTAGTTCAGTCCATGGTCATTAAAAAATCATCTTATCAAAAAGTATTGTTTGTATGCGTGTGCGTGTGCGTGTGCGTGAAAGAATTTTCATATATATTTTTTATTTAATTAACGTTTCCGGTTTTATAAAATCAATTTTCTCATCGCAATTATATATCGATTAATTTGTTATCGATTTAAAAAAAAATTTTACCGCGCGCCATATTTTTTTTTGATAATATTTTTAAAAAATCGATCGATTGTATTTAAAAAATGTCCTTATCATCATCATTATCATCATCATTATCATTATTATCATTAAGAAAAAATTGTAATAAAACCACTGTAAAATTTTTTTAAAAAAAAAAAAAAAAACAAACAATTTCGAAACCGGAAGTAATTGTTATGAATTTTCTTCTTTTTTTTTTTTTTTTTTTTACATAAATCGAATTCTAATAAAAATAATTTTATTAATTAATAAAAGAATTTTCCTATTTAATAATTTGAATGAAAAAATAAATAATTTATTACGGATGTGATTAATTAATTAATTAATTATGGTATTAAATAGAATTTTGTTTATTTTAAAATTTTAAAACAATTTTTTTTTTTTAGAATTTTTCCTACCAACGTATTTTTTTGAAAAAAATGATTCGAATTTTTTTTTTTTTTTTTTTTTTTTTTTTTAAATAGTACGTTGATAATTCACGAAGGTTTTCATTCAAAAAAAAAAAAATTGATAAGATATCAGTTTGAAATTAATCAATCAATTAATTAATTAATTAATTAAGTTTAACTGACTCTTAATAAGAATAATCGAGAATTTTGTTTACATGGAATAAAAAAAGATAAAAAAAAATAAAAAAAATATGCAGGAGGTCCCCACGAAAATATTATCATCATTATTATTATCATTATCATTATCATTAATAAATAAATAAAAATTTCCGATGGAAACTTCTGGAAATTGTATAATAAAATGGATGTCGAATCGAATAAGATTATTACTATTATTAAATAATTTTTCTTTTTTTTTTTTTAAATTAACGAC